GTGAAAAGACTCTCTTTATACGCGATGAGTCAGTGTGTGTGAGAAAGAGAAAAAAGAGAAAAAAGTCTGTCGTCAACGACGACGCTTCCTATATACGTGTGTAGTACACCTCTATTCTTTTGGCCAGGATGCGAACGACGAGCGAGGAGGCGGCGGTGGCGGTGCTAGTGTTCCGAGAAGGGCCGTATACGTCGGCAAATATTCCAATGATGAATTCCTCGCTCGCTCGCGCGCACATGAGGACGCGTCGAGCGAAAAGAGAGAAAACTTGCGCGTGAGTTGATTCCGAAATTACTTTTTTTTCTTATCGCACGCGTTGGGCGTTATATTCGTTTGATTAAATGGCCATTGCGTGAAGACGAAAGGAGAGAGAGAGAGAGAGAGAGGGAGGAGAGAATTTTCCACTGAGCAACGTTCGTGTAACTATGCGGAAAAGAGCCCCGAGTGCGTGTGCGTGAATAGGTAATGCACCTCGGCAGTCGTATAATCGGAAGATTTTCATGTTCGCTCAACGAACGGACATCTGCCATGGACACCGCTGTATGGATACCAGTATAGATCGATGCTCTTTACGAAGAGTAGGACGTTCATAGATATTAATTTCAATGGAAAAGTGCTACCTTTCGTCAAAAAACGTCGATTTACAGTAACTATTAGGTCATACATGTATAATTACTTATAATTCTGCCTCCAAAGAAGCAAAGGGAGAGAGACATCTATTTAATCGTGTACCTTCCTGGGAGGAATGAGGGTGGAAGTTATTTATGTCTATTCAACCCCAAAATAATAACTGGCTAAGATGCATTATGCTCTTAGCATATTATATTGTTCATGTAAATTTGATATCAATAATGTATAAAGTAATACTATGTTCCCCACGAAGAGTAACATTCCTCCATTTACTTTAATACGTAAACGTGCTACTCATAGTGGACAACATTGAATAATGATTCTGAACGAAATGTTGTTTTCTCATTCAAAGGTCAAATTTAAATATTATGTTCGAGTAAGGGATTAGTGATTTTTTATTATTATTATTATTATGTTAAAAAGACTATTGTATTTTTAAGAAAAAACTATTTGCCAATAAAATGACAGCCATTTTCAAAATCAAAATTATCTCATCGATGAATCGTTAAATGATTGAAATGATTTAATTAATGATATGAAACACCATCAACAATTTTTCTTTAAGTCTTTTCTTCTTTTGTATGTAGTGGCGCATAACTGCCCTGATTTTCCACGTATTGGTTTTTCAATTTTCGTTGAAGTGGACAATCATTATTCATAATATATCATTCTGAAATAGATTTTTCGTTTTTATTTAACAACTTACACAAATTAATCGTTTAGACGGAGATTGAACGTGGTAACATTTTTTCACCCAAAATACTTTATATATTATGTAATGTTTCTAGATAATTTGAGTAAATATTTTCCCAAATTCTTTGGTGAGTTAAAATCAAGTTCATTGATATTTGAATTCGGTGGTGCGAAAATCTCGCACTTGTGCATGTTCGATCGATTCAGAGTCGCGTATCATCAAGAGCTTATCAAGCTATAGGAACCAAGTAGCAAAAAAATGACACGGGAATTAGTAATTAGCATTAGTGATTGGTGAAAACACAACGATGGCTGTGTGCAAAAGTATAATAATAGTCAAACGTCCGAGATTCAGGTAATGGTCATTCGATTCACACTCATTTCAGCACATTTTTTATTGAAATTTTAGAAAAAGATATATGCATGAGTATGTATATTTATACAATTGTCAATAATTTCTTTCGGCACTAATTGCACGCGTAATTTTTCCGACCTTCGTGCACTGCTTTTTAATGAGTAAATAAATTCGATTTCTGGCCAAATTTCTTCTCGCGCTTATCGCATGCATAATTTTTGCAGCCTTCATGAACCACCGTTTGGTGAGTAAGCAGAGGCCCTTTTTGTCCAAATTTACTTCGTGTACTGTCTTTTGGTGTATGATCAGTACCGATTTTTGTCCAAATTTCTGCTCGCAACTATCGCATGCGTAATTTTTGCGGCCTTCGTGGACTGCCCTGTGGTGAACGAGCAGATGCCCTTTTTGTTCAAATTTACTTTTGCAATTATCGCATGCACGATTGCGACTTTCATGCATCGTCTTCTGGTGGATGAGCAAATTTCTTCTCGCACTTGTCACATGCGAAATCTGTTTTTATATTGTGAATTGTGTCACGGTTTGTTATCATGCTTGATTCCAATGTAAATGACTCCTGACAAATATCGCAAAATTTTTTTTTGGTCTCCGAAACAACAATGTCGTCTTATAATTTTATTACGTAGAATACGTGATCGCGAAAAATATGACGTAAATCTGATAACTAATTTTTTCTTTTACATCCATAATTTGCAAGAGAGGAGAAATTTTGTTAGCTGCACCGCATCGCATCTAAGCTAAGCATTAAGAAAACCTAACGACCTGACTTGCTATGCGGAGCCTGACATGCACCTATGGATATCAAAAATTAAGATTATGGAAGGAATATGAGCCCGATCGACTTTGTGGTAAGTACATTATAAAATGAGCTTTCGTGATTTTACATTTTGTTCAAGCAATCGCTTGTATTCCAAAACTTGTCATTTTTCTCAAAACTAGTTTCAATGTATCAAAATCGAATTGCATTAAAAATGTCTTTCATTCATAAATAGCTACATTTTTCACGTGCAAACTACGAAAATGAAAGAAAATTGATAAAACAAATAAAAGTAGAAAAATGGCTTGCAGAACACTGTCATGTACTTGAAATTCGTTGCTTCGCTATGCGTACGTATCTGTTCGGTTTTTTTTCTCTCAGCCTTTATTTTGCCTGCTTCGCGAAAGCTCGTGCGCGCACAGCATGAATATATAACTCGTCGCAATTCGTATGCATGCGTATACGCGTGTACGCCATTATGCTGCGCTCTCAGTTTGCATGTATAAAACTTATACACGGGATATACTCATATGTACGGAGAGCGATGGGCCGATGAAAGTTGATGGAACTCTACACGTGCTGTGCGCAGCATTCGACTCTGCAGAATTCATGCTGCGTTCGACGGCCCTTTTTTTATCTGACACGCCCGCACGGGTTATAAGTACCAGGAGAAAGACAAATTATACGAAAGAGCCGATATGAATTACATCGTAAAACGTACTTTTTGTGCACTTCGCAATTAGGATAGGATGAAAAATTGAACGATCTAATCAAGATGACACGCTTTGTTTATAATTAATACTGAGCCTTGAGAACTCATTTTTTTCTTTGACTTTGAAAATTTTTTTAAAACTCAATTTTTTTATTTTTGACTTTCTATTTAATTCTATAAAATTGTTCTTTATCGACATTGACGATTAACATCACTCATCTCCGAGATAACTTTAAGAAATGCGGCCTAGTAACTAAAGCCTCAAGCTGGAAGGCGTAAGCAAGGTAGTTATAATCAATTAATCGTGTATACGTATACGAGTACTTCTATACACGGTGGGGGATTGGAAAAAGTGACAGCTCCATACAAACTTTTGTTTGTTGCTCATGCAATTCGACAAATTTTAACAAGATTTTCGATTAATAATCAGAAAAAGGTAAACTAATTACGAGAGATTTTACTAATTTTGAATTAGAAATTTAGAAAACGTATCGATCATGAAAATTAAAAAATACATTCATGTAAGTATCCATACATATTTACAATTGTCAATCAAAATTTCTTCTCGCAATAGTTGCATACTTAATATTTGCAACCTTCGTAGATTGTCTTTTGCTGGGAGAAAACATGATGCCCCTTTGGTCAAAATTTGTTCCGGCACATGTCGCGTGAGTATTCTTTGCGACCATCGTGTACTGTATTTTGGTGTCTAATAAATTTCGATTTTTCTCCAAATGTACACTAAAAAGTTTTCATTTTAATTCAAAAATTTGCCGCCCCACGCCATAGCGTGATTGACGTGCTCCATGAACCGCTACTGGATGCACAATTGTGGTATCTTAGACAAGTAATCAATTTGAGGGGGCTCAATTTCAGTTAAATGAGGCATTTTGCGTACTTCAAACGGTATCTTCAATACGGTTTACAGGACGCCAAAAAATGATAGACATTTAAAAAATAACTGCAGTCCATGTACTCGTTTAAACGATCCATTTTTTTCTCTCATCTAAGCTATTACGCTACTGTTAAGTGTGAATGACAACTCGAAGTTGGCTTAAATCTTTTATTTGACTTAAAGCTAGAAAAAATGTCCACAAAATTTTTAAGAAATCGTCTTGATACGACCAAAATTTACGGAGATAAAAGCGTTTGAAAATTTACAAAATATTAATGAAAATTATTGTTGCGTCGTGTATATTTCATGCGACGTATTGATGCGATAGAAGAATTTTACCGTTAATATTTTTTAATTAAAAAATTTCAAAAGTGAATGTTAAGTTCGTGAAATAAGTTCGTGAAATAAGTTCGTGAAAAAAATTTTAGGTTTTTATATATCCAAAAAGAAAAAAAACCGGAAGATACCATTTTGGTGATGACGATATATTCGTTAAAAATATTGGGCTCATCGTAAGTATACGATTTTATCTTGTATTTGAATATTTTTTAAATCCAAGTGATATCTGCAATTTACTTTTTGTTTAAAAACAGAGTAAGAAAGAAAGTTATACTCGTTTCAAAGTTTCGTGCGCCTTCAAGCCGTTTACCTGCTTGGCATCACTGTGTACCGAATTGCAGATACAGTATCCAATTTTACATTTGTGAAAATAACGCATGGTGATTAATAATAAAAATAAAAATAAATAGGAATAAAAGCAAATATAAAATAAAATAATACTCACAGAACTTGCACAACTAACAACCTCGTAATACTATTTTAAATGTAAGATTAAAATGCAAATGTATAGAGTTCAATTTTTGAAAATGCCCGCTTCTAATCGTGGCTCTAGCGCCATGCTCGCTTGGCCAAGTCACAAATTATCTTTCCGACACGCCGCATGAAGCCGTTGATGTGCGCAGCTCTTCCCAGCCTAGGTCTTTTTACTCGATCACCATGGCTGAACAGACGGTATGATTCTTTTATTTGTAGAAAATTAATATTTATCTATTAAATCTTGTTTTCGTAGTGAATATACGATAATGTTTAAGTTTTGCAAGTGTAAAATAAGTTCATGTGTTAAATTTGTTGAATGCAATGCTAAAAAGTTTACACTATGGCGTAGGCCAATTATTGCCACACGTGCACGTCGCGCCCGATCGTTTTAGATTAATTATTTAACAATTATGAAATGTAAATAAACAATTGTGTTCTACACTATTAATTTTTAAAATTGTAGTGGAAAATTTGTTATATTAGTCAATGTTCGGTGTCGAAAAATTGGATAACTGAATTTTTTGTATGTGTACACTGTGCACATAACCTGCAATGTTAACTGATGCATTTCAAAATCGCGGATTGCTCCTACTTTTCATTTATGAAAATTATAATTATTAGTATGACTAAAGTGAATCGAGAATAATAATCGAACGTAATCGCGCAGGTGCCTTGGAGTACTTATCCAACTATCAACTTTTCAAAATATTCTCTCTTGTAATGTTTTAAACTCTTTCTAAACTTCACATGATGATATTGACGACGGTCTTCTGAGAACATAATGAAGATAATTTAATCGTCTACTGATATATTTAAAACTTTCAATAGAATTGATAGTTTTTTATTGAAATTATTTTAATAGATAAAATGAAAAATAATCTCGCTGGTACATTCAAATACTAATAACATTGCTTTTCTTTACAGGCCAAATCGTTCTTGAAACAACCCACTGTCTTCCTTAACAAGAAGAAGGGTACCTCGAAAGGCAGATCCAAATCTCTGCGTTACACTCGCGAGGTTGGACTTGGATTCAAAACCCCAAGAGAAGTAAGCATTCATTTTATTAATATTATATTTTTGTTAACTTGTTACCAACAAATTAAATGATGATATTGACGACGGTCTTCTGAAAATAAACTGAAGATAACTTAATCGTCTACTGATTCATCTATTGATGTATTACCATTTTCAAAATATTTAGTCACATACAAATTACAATCTTTAATCATTTCAGGCCATCGAAGGCACTTATATCGATAAGAAATGCCCCTTCACTGGTGATGTATCCATCAGAGGTAGAATTCTGACTGGAACCGTCATAAAAAATAAGATGCAGAGGACCATTGTGGTTCGTCGTGATTACTTGCACTACATTCGCAAGTATAACAGATTCGAAAAGAGGCACAGAAATATGTCTGTACATTTGTCACCAGCCTTCAGGTAAATTTACAAATAATTAATCTGTCAGATATCCTCTCTAAAAGCATTTTAAATTATTTATGAACTCTATATGATGATATTGACGACGGTCTTCTGAGAACAAAATGAAGATACTTTAATCGTCTACTGATATACTTACAACTTTCAATAGAATTTATGGTTTATTATGTTTTATGTTATTTCATTTGTCTGATTGAGTTTTTTTCTTTTTCAGAGATGTTGAGATCGGTGATGTTGTTACTATTGGAGAGTGCAGACCACTCAGCAAAACTGTGCGCTTCAATGTGCTTAAAGTGTCAAAAGGCAGTGGCACAAAGAAGAGCTTCAAAAAGTTCTAAATAAATTAATTTTTACAAATTAAAACATTGGTATTTTTTATTTCAATTAGAATTTAAATGTCCCAATTTAAGTTATTTATTTCTGAATATCAAAAGTACTTTTACAGTTACTTTTACTGTTACATTTATCATGTTAAATAATATAGAACAACACAAATATTCAATTCAACTTGAAAAAATTTGTAGATAGTAAAGTATAAAAATTAATTACTCGCTAGAAATTTCTTGCATAATTTTATTTTTAAATTTTTTCAAAATATACATACAAAAATACAATACATACTTTGTCTAATTCATAAAATTTTACTACGGACAAGCCACAACAAACAGGAAGTATTAATGAGAATTATTAATACTAAAAGTATTTGCATTAATTACTATCAGGAACCCTAAGGCACATATTACTACTTGAATCAAAAATCTAGAACTGACTAACATAATATGTAATACATTGAATAGTGTGATTAATCATTAGAAATGTAACATGGTATTCCACCATAAAATTTCATAATCTTGGATCGAATTTTATAATGTACATTTCATGCTTATTATAATATCATATTTTAATATAATTTATAATTCTTGTATTACAAATCAGTCATTGAATCAAAAGACACACTGTTAACGTCTTGAAGGCTAATAACACTACATCACAATTTAACATCTTAAACCTCATAATGATTCAGGTGTAGAAGTTTCATGGTGATGTTTGGAAGAATTTTCAGCTATATACAATATATAAAAAATTGGCCCAGCAAAACCAAGGAGAAGTGAGAAACAAAGTAATTGAAACCAAGATAGCCCCCAATCTGCTCCAGAACATTTAAATGTATTTATAATATTATTACTTGTTCGGTGATTAATATTATCTGTAGATTCAATCAATGTATCTGTCTCTGTATCCTCTGAGAAATGAAATGGTTCATTACTTAGAGGTACTGATGGTTCTAGAGTTGAATTAAAAATAATTTTATTAATTTCAACTGCAGATGAAGTTGATACTGATGGTAGTGATGAAGAATTCATTATTTTGTTGTCTGGTTTTAATTCTACATGAGTATTTAAGACAGTTGAATTTAATTCCATTCCTTTATTGGGAATATTTTTACCAACAGTTTCAGTAAGAAGTGAAAAAGGTTGAACTGGAACTTTAATAGATTGTCTCGCATGAATTTCATTGTCATTGTGTATTTTGTTTATCCTCTTTAGTTCTGATACCTAAAATTAATAATTTATCTTAGTTACTACAGTGACACATACATTTTAAAGGCCTCTTCAATCAAGCTAGTACTTACTGTACATCTGTATTTAAGAGCTAATGCTTGGAGGGTATCATCAGTTTGTACTTGCACAATTATAACTTCTACTTTGCGAGGCCCAGAGGGATTTTTCCTTACTTTTAAAGGGTATATTTCTTCTTCACCTTCACTTTGATCATCTTCTGAGTGAAGATACACATAGTTGGGCGACCCTTCTTTTTGATTTACCCTTTGAAACGAGCTTTGCCTAAAAATAACAATGAAATTTAACACAATTAGGATAGACAGATTTAATCTGGATCAAAATAAAGAGAAACAATCGGATGAAAACAATAACATCCAAACGCTACAAGCTGTCAGAATCTTCATACAAAGAACCTAACCTACTCTGAAAACCTTACCTTGTTATTTTTAGTGGCTCGCCCGAGCCAGTGTACGATTTTTTCCTCATTTTTCCGATGTTTACATCGATGTTGTCCCCTAACGCGTTTGTTTAATTATTCATCAAAGGCGCAAATCCACGCACGTTGCGATACCCAATCATAGCAGCTCACTTTCTGTTACTCCTGTGGTTCACTTTCCGAGTCCTACATTATATATACGTAAACACATACACGTCTGCAGAATCAACAAGCAGACTTCCCACACTTACTGCTGCTGCTGATGTTGCGATATATGTATATAGTACACTGTGTGCGAAATTCTGCTGCTGCATGTTTTGCTGAGCAGAAACCCCACTGTTCTGTCTGCTGTAATATCTATAGATCATCTCGTTACGTTACGCTATTCATTTGTTACCATTCGCTCTCTTATTGTTGAGATGTTTCTATGATAGCTTGGCGCTCTCGCTCCCAAGTTCATTTGTTGATCTTTTCGGCATTGCGATTAGGAAATGAATTATCTTATCTGCTGGATCGAAATTTATTTTTACTTATTTAACATTCGTTTTACCTTGATGACTCGTCAATCTCGTCAATGAAATGATGAATGAAACGATGCAATGCATTTTTCGAAAATCGCATAATTCATATCGAGACTTGACCTTTTTTCTCATATTCCAAAAAAAGGGTTTGTCTCGTTGCGTAATGTCAAATATAGCAGAAACCTAAATCAAGCACACGTGCAGAGCAGATACGAATGCAGACAGCGATCTCAGAGACTCCCGCAGTTGCCCGGCTCTCCGCTCTGTCCGTGAGTCTGTCCGACAGCCGTCAGCCGCATACCTAGTCACGGCATGTGTATTATCGGTGCTTGCACATAACCTACGGCTTGTGTTCCACAAAATAAACAAATTCATCCGATCCCGAAGTGTTTCATCTTGATATTTTGAAGAAGTGAACACAGCAAATTGACATTAGCACAATGTTTCATCGATTTTGGTCATCGAACTCTCGCAACATTTCGGTATGTATATAACCCACCTACGTTGTAACATTAAGCAATAAAAAAATTTAGCAAGTTTTTACAATGTCTTTAGTCAAATTTGCGAGAGCTTTCATTTGAGTCAACTTGAAAAATTAATTTAACATAGATTTCGGACACATATCGTTCGGATCATTGTTTATTTTTTTCAATTTTACGGGTCGATTTTCGATGTGTATGCCTGAGTATGAGTGTACTGTATACTTCCAAGACAAAATGAAAAGAAACAAAGTTTTTCAGCTGTTGTCTCGAGTATGGAACGGACCCCAAAATTCCTTCACAGGCAAACAAGCAGAGGATAAAATGATGACAATATTAAGAGAAAAATTCCCAAAAGCTGAAATCATACAAGTGCAAGATGTGTCAGGTATGTTTATAAAATTAGTTTTGTAATATTACTTTATAACAGTAAAAGACTAATAATACTCTTTTTCATCAGGTGGTTGTGGAGCAATGTTTGAAATAAGCGTTATAGCACCAGAATTCAAGGGTTTGAATACTGTAAAACAGCACAGGCTAATTAATGAGGTATTTAAGTTAAATTTTACACAATACTGTAATAAAATAACCTTAGGTTTTTTTGTACTAATTAACTCAAATTATATTTTGAATTGCAGGTACTAAAAGAAGAAATTAAAGGTATGCATGGAATAAGGATACACACAAGTGTGCCTGATTCTTGAAGTTGTATTTATATAAGTTAAATTGGAAAGAATTTGTAAAAAGTGACTTCTAGTTAAAATTTTGTTATATGTTTGTTATTGTAATAAAAATAATTTGAACTAAATCAAATTACTTATCCAAAGCCAAAGTATTTCCTAGAAAACATAAAGAATGTCCCACATTCATTACATAGTAAAGTCATATGATTTAGATGAATTAAGTAATGAATATGTATTATAACAAATGATAATTACATGGTTATTTATTGGTTGAATCTATTCATGATCAACGACATCAAGGTAAAATTATAACTCTCGAATACTCCTATTCAATTTATATACAAACATTATAATAAAATAATTATTAAATGTTATTAGAGAAGAATGATTTAAAATCAATATTTACATCAGAAAGGGCACATTCGAACTAAGCTATAAGAACTTATTATGCTTTGATCATCAATCAATTAAGTTATGTGTTTCCATTAAATTTTTATGTAGCAAAAAACAATAATTTAAACCAAATTTAAAATATTTGTTTATCATCAAAGAAAGTATGGTAATTAAGATACAGTAATGAATATTCTCAGTTTGGTCATAAATCCAATGAGTAGATTATAGTTACAGTCATTTGAAGTTTTTGTTATGCAAATTGAAGTTATGCAAATACATTTGCAGGGGTAACAATAACAGATTGAAGTTAAAAAAAATGAATACTTATTTTGCTTAAAGAAAATTTTTCATTTTATAAAAGCAGACCAAATATTTTAGAAGATTAATTTTATTCAGTAACAAGCAAAAAATGTAGTTGCAGCATATTAGGGACTACTTGTGTGTATAACACTCTCATCAACAATAAAAATGGTACTCAGTTGACTGCAGATATAAATCATCTCCGATTACAAATTAAAAGGGGGTTATTTATAGGCCTGTACAAAAGTTATGATGATTGTCAAGGCTTTAAATTTTTGATTAATTATTATAATTTTCTATGGTCACTCTTATCACTAGTAAAGTTAGAAATTATATCGCATCTATAGATGTATTTTGCTTTCTTCATGAGTAAGCTTTAGAGTGGGTTCGAAATGGCACATTTTGAAATTAAATTAAATTTTTACATTATCATTAAAGCGCCTTTTGAAGATTTCAACATTTACGTTTAATATCATGAATAAAAAATATTAATATAAATATTGTGAGGTAGACACGTTTGTTTTCCCTCTTAAAAAATTTTATTTTTAAACACGAGTTGGTTAATACATAAAATCCACACTAAATCATATTGATCATTATATCTACTCCTGCTTCATAAGACATTCAGTGAAATAGGTCTGTAAGTGTGTAGTTGTTTATAGTACAACATTAGAAGTTTAAAAACAAAGTTCGTTGGAATTTTTATCTATGCTCAAGTAAAAAAAAGTTGTTAACCAGAGACAAAAGTTTTGTTCTGGCACCCACAAATGTTTAAATGAAAAATATGAACTGTATAGGCTTACGAGGAACTATTATTATCAAATGTTTTGGTCAGATTTTTAAATCAAGAACGAGACTGTTTTTTCTAGGTTCACTAAAGTTCTTTTTTTATTTATATAAAGAAACTACTTGAGTTTAGTAAAAAGTAGAGAATAGTTGAAAGTGAATGTTTTAATGATACTTTTTCCTTTAAATTAAAAAATAGAGTATTCAATACAATTTGATCACATGCAAATGCTGATAAACACAAGAGGGATATTTATCATTCTATTAACAGCGTTTTGCGGTATTGTTCACCTACTAACTCGTACTTCGAAATAGTTTTGAACTCTTCTGGGTTGAAGCACCTCGATTTCAATCTTACATAACTCGGTTCGAAGTCGTAATTATCGTAAGACACTTTGACGCAGGTGGTAGTCAGGCAATAACTGTCTCGATCTTCGGTAAGTCGAGTGAACCCTGCCTCCTTGGGTATGCTTTTACACTTCATATCGGGATCCAAGAATTGCTTGGCTTTTCCATCCAAACCAATTTTTATCAAGTACATGTCTGTTGAGTGACTATCGCCCTCGTTGTTGATGAGGTAAGTCATAAATCCTTCTCCCCCAGGTATATTGTAAATGGCTTGTTTAGACCCATAATGAGCCGGACGGAAGATTTCAGCTGAAAACCAGTTGATTTCTTTATCGCCGAGCTTGAACTGTGTGCATTTCATGATTGTTTCGTTGCGTCGAGCGCATATGCCGATCAATTCGTTTGTCATGGAGAGCAAAGGTGATTGTACATCTTCAATATGAGTTAAATTTTGTCTTTGACCTGGAAGCGTGAAAAATATTTCGTTATTTGAATTCAAGTTCCGAAGATAAATGAAAATTTTTTTCATCACTTACCGTTTGACTGAATATGAGCTACTGTAATCGCTGACTTTTCGGGCCAGGAACGAAATGGTTCTTCGATAAGCAAATATCCTTCTTTCAATGGAGTGACAATTTTTGCTTTACCGGAGGAAGTGAGTAAAGTATTGACTTTAGAAACAGTTCCTTCATTATCTATCGTTGCTGAGTAAATTGATGAACTATTATGGTCACTGGACTCGACAATAAACAGAACGTCGAAATCGTCTTCTCTTTTGAGATATCTCGGCTCGTCGAAACTATTCCCAAGAAAGCCAGCCGCGAATTGCCCATTTCTGGGGTAATAAAAATTTTGCACCAACTGGTCAAGATCTTTCGAAATTTTGGTCGTTTTGACTTTACAATTGGAAAAATCGACGATACTAAATCGCAGGTGGTACTTTTCGTACCAGTACCTCTCGGTATCCTCTAACCAATGCACGATCGCTCGATCCTTACCCAGAGGATCGATTCTAATGAGATCCATCGCAATGAAACTGCCGGACTCGGAGCGCAGCACGACGTTACACTCGTCCTCCTTCGGGCTACCTCCCGAGAAATCCGCCTGTACTCGACGCACAATGCATTCCTTCTCTGTTTGCTCGACGGCCCTGCCACAAATTCCGTAATAGACGGTGGTATTTTTTATGGCACTCTCACTGAACACTAAAAAATTTTCACCGATGTCGCCTTTGAACGAAAAACTACGATAGGCACTCGCAGGTGAAACTGAGCCGAGTAAGATTATGCCATGTAGAGCCGCGATGATCGCGAAAAACGTCGCAAGTGTCGACATCGTTGTTTATACTATACGTTTAGCTCTTGACTCGTTGCTTGGTAAAACGACACTAAGCTTTTACTTTTTTTCCTCGATTTTATATTCGTAAAAACGAAGAAAAAAATCAACGAACGAAACAATTAGCATACATAGTAGTAGTAACTAATTTTTCGCATTAATCAGCGATAGTCAATCGAGAGAAATACAGAGTTGTAAATTATGAATGTGATGTGAAAGAGAAGATACAACGTAGAGTTTATGGCTGTTGCCGGTGTTAAATCCTTGTATCGACTACTAAGATTATCTTTTGCCTTGAAATCGCGACAAATTATGAATAAATAAACCGAGCCAATAATTATTTTAAAATAAACATCATTATTTACCAGCGAAGAGGGCATTCAAATTTCGTACAAACCCATGACTGAACAAATTTTTATTTAAAAAATAATTATAATAACAACAATCCAATTTAAAATATGTTTTAAAACTTAGTAAGCAGTTTTTGAAATGAAAAAACGTAAAATTTTTTTAAAAATTTTGAGAGGTCAGGTTTTTTTCAACGATTGAGTGCTGCTAGAAAATTTTATTTTAGTCTTCGAAAAAATTCTGCGTCATATTACGCTAGTTTTTCATTTTTAAGACGTTTTGAGAATAAGAATATATTTTTGATAACAAATTCATAATGCGTGTAACAAATTTTAATTATGTATATTAAAATTAGTGTAAATTTATCCATCATTATTGCTGTCAATTTCGTCTAATGGGAAAAATTATTCAGTCATGACAATCGAACTGCGTGACCGAAAATAATATTATTTAAATTTCAATAATTTTTTGGATGTCCTCAAACCTGCGCACGATCGTTCGATCCTTACTCAATGGGTTGAAAATGTCGATGCTATTCACAATTGCAAAATCGTTGAATACATTTTCATTTTTGTCATCACTTTACGAGATCACATCTCTCTTGGCAGGAATATCAGTGTTCGTTTGCAAATTTATCAAAATTTTCACTAGTACGTGTTTAATCAATTCAGGGTTGCGTACCATAACAAGAAGTTTATCAGAAATCCAGTAGCCAAACTAAACGCGAGCTGCATGAACCAAGTTGAGAAAAAATGTACGGAGAGTATTGGTAGAACGCAAAATTTTGTCTGTTAAAAAAATAAATCATCACCTTGACAGTAAAAAAAGATGTTATGATACCTGTAGTTATCACGATATTCGTATAAACATAATCATATATTGGCACAATTCTTATTTCAATTTTATTCATAGAAAAACCTGAACTTGAACATCTATATCAATTTCTATATAAATGACATGCGGGGAATCAAATTGCGTTTGTATGCAAAAATTTCATCACATTTATCATGTAAGTTATCTTTACTACTCCAAAAGTTGTCTAATAGGTAGTTTCTGTGCATTTGATAGACTTTCTTCAGTGCCAACTTAAATTCGATGGAGTCTCATATTTATTGTCACGCTTATTGCTTTCGTTATTTTCAAAAACTTCGTGTAATGTTATTTGATGTCTGATTAAATTTGATCGAACTTCACATTTTTTCTTTTACTTATTGCCCCTGAAATCTTTGCAACCTTCCTGAATTGTCTTTAGGTGCAAAAGAAAATGATGTTCAAGTCCAAATTTTATCTCGCACTCGCCGCACATGTAACCTTTGCGACCTTCGTGAACTCTATTTTGGTGTCTAATCAGTGTCGATATTTCTCCAAATTTCTGCTAGCAATTGTCACATGCGTAATCTTTACAACCTTCATGAACTGTCTTTTGATGTTTTCTTAAGTTGCTTCGTACACAAAATGTCTCCTCGCAGTTATTGCATGTGTAATCTCTCCGACTTTCGTGGATCGTAATTTGGTGTTTATTCAAATCACTGCGAACCGCAAATTTTTTTTGCATTTTTCACATGCGTAGTCTTTACGACCTTCGTGGACTATTTTTTTGTGTTTGATCTGATTACTTCGATTCCCAAATTTCTTTTCGCACTTGTCACACGCATAATCTTTATGACCTTGTGAACTGGATTCTGGTGCTTGATTAAATCCGAATTTTTTCCCAATTCCTTCTCACAGTTATTGCATGCGTAATCTTTGCGACCTCCATGGACTGTTTTTTGGTACACACGTAAAGTCGATTTTAATCCAAATTTCTTTTCGCAATTTTCACATGCGAAATATTTGTGAACCTTGTGGACCGACTTTTGATGCAAAAGCAATTTCCATTTATTTCCAAATTTCCTCTTGCACATATCGCATGTAAAATCTTTACCACCGTCATGTACTATCCTTTGATGTCTGATCCAAGTATTTTGTCGTCCAAATTTCTTCTCGCATTTATCGCATGCGTAATCTTTCCGACTTTAATCGTGGACTGTCATTTGGTGCATTAGTAAATGATGTTTAAGTCCAAATTTTTTCTCGCATTTGTCGCATGCGAAATCTTTGCAACCATCGTAAACTGTTTTCAAGTGCAAGAATAAATGACCTTTATGGTCGAATTTCTTCCCGCAACTGTCACATGAATAAGCTCTTAAAACTTCATGAACTATCGTTAGGTGGACGAGCAAATGCGATTTTTTTCTAAACTTCTCTTCGCATTTGGTCCATGTGAAATCTTTGTGATCCTCATGGACTATATTTATGTGCAAACGCAAACTCTGTTTATTTCCGAATCTCTTCGCGCATCTTTCACATAAGTAATCTTTGAAAACTTCGTGGAATATTTTTTTGTGACTTATTAATTTGATTTATTTTCAAATTTTCTCTTGCACTTGTCGCATACAAAATCTAGCGACCTTTGTGCATTGATATCTGGTGTCTACTCAAATGACTTCGGAACTGAAATTTTTTTTCACACTTGTCGCATGCGTAATCTATCTCGTCATTATCGCGAGTTGAGTCTCGGTGTGTTATCATATTTGATTTTAGTGAAAATGTCTCCTGGTAGATATCACAAACGTATTTTTTTTCGTCGAAAACTACAGTGTCGTGTTCACTTGAACTATCTTTCTTTCTTTCTTTCTTAGACAACTTCCTTGGATTCCTTTTCTCTTTTATCCATTATGATCTTTCAATTGAATAATGAATCCCTCAATTCAGTGCTACACAAATTTAATAAGTAAAATTTATCTTCTGATATTAAGACTTCTTTCATCGGGAAAGACAACATTCAAACTAATTTGTTTTTATAATTATGATCAGTGGGTTGAGGCACTATGTTAAAATAGTTTATAATAATATTGTTTACGATTAAGTTACCTAATTATCTGTTTACATATTATAATAATATTTGACCCAGTTAAAATTTTTTTTATTAAGATTTTTTCGAGGTTTTTTTGGACTAAATTACGTACTTTATATCGCTCTATCTGTGCATTGGCAGTTATTTTATCTCTGTATTTAAAATTTTTGTCAAGAAAATCTACATATATTCAGACTCAATGTCAAACGCAGGTTACAGAATCCGATCACCTGTTGCAGTTATTTTCTACGAAAACCGTCGACTCACTTTGAGATAACAGCAATTTCCGCTACTTCTTAAACTTAATATTTTTTGATGTAATAAATAATTCTTAACTTAGAACTTAGCAATTGAAAGTCCAAGTTTTACTTCAAAAGTAAAAGCAGGTTACAAATTTAAAATATTAATATATCGTCGCTTCTGATTGATATGAAAAAATTTTCAAGTTATCACTGCTGCAGTATGCATTATAAATCGGCATTGCTGAACACAGCTGTATGTATTTTCATTCATTAAATATTACATTCTATGAAAGAATTTAATTTAAATTGGTCAGGGATAAATAACGTTTGTTTTAGAAAAAGAAATTTTTTTGCTTCGTTTTTATCAACGATTCTTTATCGATTTTACGCCACTTTCAACAAATTCACTTTAGATATTCATAATCACGGAGGAGGGGGGGGGGGGGGGGGNGGGGGGGGGGGGGGGGGGGGGGGGGGGGGCGCAATACATCAAAAAAAGTAGGTGGGATCTCGTCGCTCCATCAGATACGAAAACTCTTTGAGCCATCTGACTATAATTACTGCAGCTTCTGAGAAACGTTACTGTCGGTCCGTTAATATGACAATTCAATTCATTCTATTGCTTAGTCAATGTGGAAGATTCTATTTGGTTGTGACGATTTGAATAAATGTTTTTGTTCAAATGTCATGGCTTGTTGTGTATCTGGAAAAAGAGTATATTGATATTTGACTTTCAAATGCTCTGTTTAGATATTTGAGAACCTTTACTATCTGATAAATGAACATGATATGCATTTCATTAAATTTAAAGTCATCTTTCCATAATACGCTTATGAAATGAATTTATATAATACACTAATCAAATTAAATACTGATACACTTTCTAAATTGGTAACGTACTTAGGAAGCTGTAAAAGAAATTCGAATAAATTCATAATTCTTGTGTGAGCGTTAGGTTGCACGCTACTGAGAACTGATGCATCAAACACGTGAAAGGACAGCCCAACAAAAAATTGTATGCATTCGAGTACCCGCTTCGTTTTTCAAATTCGGGCATTATGGAATTTTCCATTTCCAACGCGTACACTGTACACCCGCCGGGTTAGATACTCGGACCTCGAAAATTTGAGATCGATTACTCGCTTCCTTCACTGCGCAGCGTCCGTCGTAAATATGTAGTCACACGCTGTTGTTTATAAACAGTGAAGGAAGCAACTAATCGATCTCAAATTTTCGAGGTCCGAGTATCTAACCCGGCGGGTGTACACGTACCCACGTGTGAGAGTTTAAATATCGGAACACGATTCAGGGCTCTACATTCATTACCATTCGAAATTTCTGACTTCTGCTAGTGAATATAAACAATAACAAAAGCGCATGCGCCTCCGTTTTCTACATATATGCATTAAAATACACGTCACACTCGCTACATGATGCAGAATATACGTATATGTATCAAATTCAGATTAACTATGTATATTATATACATGCGCACATGTACACACACGCACACGTGTCAGCGCGGACCAAAACAATAATAATAAAGCCGTGCTGCTGCAGCGCTGGTTGTTTTCATTGGGCTCCCGACGTGTCCCCGATGCGTTGTGTATATTTCAGTTCTCCCCTCTCCTCGTCCAACACGTACACGTCAGCGTACTATATAACACGACTGGCGCATGTGTATAAGTATTTGTATACAAGACGAACCAACGGAGTTTACAACGCCAACACAAGCCCGCGTGTATCAATATACGAACCCAGCACACACAGACATTCGCAAGAACGCGAGAGTGAGGCAAAGTACCGAGAGAGTGGGGATCGAGTTCACAATTCCGTATTGGATTCGTACCCTCGACCGACGCGCAAATTTCTCCTTCAGTGTCTTGCCGCTACATGCTGCAGAAACATCGGTCGGAGAGCCAGAGCTGAGAGCCCCACGCATAACAAACACACAGACATAGACACACACACACACACACACAAGCTCAACTTCTTCTTGTGTTTACGTCTCTCTCACTCTCTCCTCGACGACGCTTGCTCTGTTTTGCTCGCGAACACATCGGAGCGGGGCTTTGTTTATCCTTCCCCCTCCACCACATTCATAATAATAGTAATAATAATAATACCCGAGCAGAGCAGCAGCACAAGTCTGGCAGCTGTATCTGTGTGTGAGTGCGCGCGTTTCTCTCTCACTCTTTATCGCATACTTTACGTGCGCTGCAGTATACCTACCACGGCAGTAGTAGTGTTATTGTGTGCTAGCCAGAGGCACAGGCTGCAGCAGCGAATTGCGCAACATACACAGACACCTATATACACTACATTCAGGTGTTAGTAAAGAGCAGCAGCATCGCACGGCCAAAACAATCGACGACGCATCGCGTGTAAACAAATTGTCGTTGTTTTCGTCTCCCATCCGTGTGTCTCTGTGTGTACGGCGGCGGCTCTGTTTATTATGTGCAGCGCCCGTCAATCGCGCCAGTCGAAGTGAGAATTCGTCGCATCGAGGACGTGCGCTCACGATTCGAGATTGATCATCATCATCATCACAATCGTCGTCATTGTAGCTAGAGCTGCGCTCCGTTGTACCGCACTGAGCCGTGAGAGAAAGAGAGGAACTTCTCTCGCGTTCGTGTGTGTATGTGAGTGGTAGTGGTGGTGGTGGTGGTGGTGGTAGTGGCGATAGTGAGTGTGCGTGTCTGGCGCTCGTAGCTCGAAAGAGAGAGAGAGAGAAAGAGAGATATCGCCATTGAAGCTGGCACTGCACACATATACACTGACTCACGGGCGGGAGTAATACTACGTACGACAGCGCACTGGTGTCGTCCAAGCGTACGCGACGTAAACACACCAGTACTACTACAGCCGCCGCTGTGACTACTACTCAGTCCACCAACTACTACTACGCTTACGCGCGTCGCAGTATTCCATAATAACAACACAAGAAGTAATTATGCCGAGTGCTGACGAGTCCAACAGCAGCCCTTCGTACTTGATCGAGGTGATGCCCGCCGAGGTGACGAGCTATCATCGCCAGACGACACAGTCGACACAGACGTTCAACTCCAGAGACGTCGACTGCCTCGTGACGAGGCTCAAGAAGAATCTCAGGCTGAGCAATCAGCAGCAGCAGCTCAAGTCGTCGCGCCCGAGCATGCAGCAGAGGCTACGTCGCCCGACGCCCTACAGACTGCCCACCAGCAGATGCCCGAGCGAGCCGCCGAGCTTCTCGCGCTACCGGCAGCGGGTGCTCGACGTACGTCACGTCGAGGACTCGCTCGACTCGTTCGAGCACTTTCAAAGTCTGCTGCGCCAGGGCGCGCTCATCAAGGAGGCTGTGAAGAGGCTGCGCTCCAGCAACGACGAGCTCTCGTCGACGGGCATCATGGGCCTCGACGACGAGCGCGAGGACGACGAAGGCGCCAGCGTCAAGTGCTTTCTCGGAGCGAGCATCTGCAACAGCACGACGACCATCGGTTCGAGCAGTCCCAACAGCAGCGACAACGACGACGAGGACTGCTGCCAAGACGACGAGGTAACCGGACTCATGTGTTTGATGTAAGAGAGGAGCATCCACAGGCGGAGTTCGTCTTCGACCAGCGACCGACATCATCGTCTACGACTTACATATTATGTGTGCGCGATGTGCGAGTGCGATGATTGTTTGTGTGTATACACGGTGCTTGCATAGTGTGTGTGCAATAGAGCGCGCGGCGCTGCAAAGCTCATACGGACACACATACACATTGTGGCAAAAAAGAAAGTGTCGCGTTCTCTGTGTGCTTACGCTCAGCGAAATTGTGCAGCTGATCCGTGTATGTGTGCGAATGTTTGTGCGAGTGTATACACGAAGTGTGCAAAGGACACTGCGCGCGCGTGATTGATGTTATTCTCTCTCTCTCACTGCGAGAGAGTCGTCGTTTCTCTGTGTGTTGCAGTGCATGTGCGAGTGTGTGTTGTGTGCGAGCAGCAAAACTTCCACACAGACGCATTACTCCGACATATCGTGTATACGGCCATCGCATGCGCGTACACATGAAAACGTATACTTTACACACGTACCGTGTGTTATTGCAACGCGTGTATATGTGCATCCATACGAGCGGCCTCCCCGTGTCTGCGTTCTTCGCAGCGCATTCGTACACACAAACACGCACACTCGCGCGCACTCTTTGGCACTTTTCGTTTACAATACGCATTGTGTTATATTAGTCATCTCTCTTTGAAAAAGAAAAAAAATATAAATTAAAAGAAGGAAAAACTGTGCGTTATCATCTCTCGACGATAATAATGATGTCGTTGTCGTCGCGCCGAGAGGATCTTCTCCTCGTTGTAAATTCTAAATATAAACAAACGTAAGAATTTTCATCAAAAATTAAACGGTCTGTGTGTATAACTTCAAGGCGCTTCGCTCGCTTGGCGCTTGTTCCGCGACAGCCCGCGAGTCGTGTTGACAAACAAAAGAGGAGCGCGGAGCTGGAACGTTCGATAAGGAGCTCTATATATACAATGCGTCGTCGTCCTTTTCATACGTGAAATCGACTTTTTCATTAAATACATAAAAAAAATATAATTGTCTCGAATTACAAAAAAAAATTGTTTGATCATGCTATTACGATTGCGTAGTTTCGAGACATCACAAATGGCGTTAGTCTTCTCTCGATGTTGTGTTGTAAAAAGTAAGAAAAACACACACAAACACAAAACTTAAAACTCTGATTCAGTGTATTATTACCATCGAAATAATAATGATAGATAGAAATTTATTTAATAAAAATAACAAAAAAAGGAAACCGCGAAATGAAATTTCTGCTTCGTTTTACAAGTTTTATTGTAATTGTCAGTAGTTGTCGCACGAAACATTTTTTCTTTTTTATTGTACTATTTCGCTCCACAAAATAAGGTAACGGTCATTATCTGTACAAATAAATGAGTGATGTACGATGTACAAAAAGAAGAAGAAAAAAATTTAATAACTAAGGCGAGGCACATAAACATACAAACACACACACAAACAAGTTTGACGCGATCAGAGCGTATCGATGTGTGTCTCCTCTATATTGATAATATAATAGTGCGGTATATTCTAACGTGTACTACGGTGCATTTATCAATGTGGCTAAGTTCAAATAATCTCACGTTTGGTGCAAATCGCGAATGAATGAATCTGAATGTATGGATGAGGGAAATGTTTAGGATTTTTCAATTACTATTTTATTTTTCATTAGGTATTTCGAATTGTAAAGAATTTGTAAAATTTACTAGGGAACGACCGAACACGACTGGTGTTATATTTTGGGTAATCGATTATCGTTAAGATGTGTTTACATATATTACGAATGTTTATTATGTATTAACATGCTTAATGCGAGCGTTGGGCGTCGGGTCGATCCCTGGCGAGTGTTCGACAGAGTCGTTATATTACGTAACAATTCCTATTCACGTCTTTTTTTTCTCCATATATATTATATGAAGATAATGCATATTGTGATCACGAGAGAGAAAAAAAGAAGAAGATACAAAACAAACAAGTGCTTCTCTACTATTATTTCATAATTTAAATTTAATCAGCGTTCAGTTATTATTCGTCATTCATAATAATTTTCTTTAATGTTATGGTAGATAGCGAGTTTTATAAAAAAGTGTAATATATCCTATTGATTGGTCATCCGGCGTCGTGCATAGGATCGAGCCTATGCGCTACAGTAGGTTATATTATTGTAAATATTGATGATATATGTAATAGTCGAAGTTGTTATAAAAAATGTATAATGATTAAAAAGAAAATCACACCCTAAACGGTTATAATCTGTACACACATCTGTGAAGCTTCTTTAAAAAAAACCGACAAGTATTAAAAAAAAACAAAAAAAAACAAAAAGTTGCAAATCGAATATCAACATATGTAATAACTTTACCTAGGATCTTTTTTAATTTACTTATTAAATGAAAAACAAATTGAGTTAAAAAAAGCCAGTCATTTTTTATTTACAAAATACCTTTTCCACATTTTCTTTACCAGTAATACTATATCAACAGCTTTACAGACGTCATCGATCGACGCAAATCTCACGGATTATTCTGTTCGTTTCGTATGTAGTTTGACGTGCACATGCAGCGCAATGAAATGTAAAACGTGTTTACGTGTATAATACATTATATCTGCAGGCAGCAGAGGTGGAGGTGCACCAGTAAGAAAAAGCAAAACAAAAACAAAACACCGTGACAAGATTATTCAGTCCGTGAGAGCTATCTTAGCGGAAAGTCCATCTACAATTGCGCGTCCTTATTTCAAGTGCGATATAGCTCATGCAAAAGTCCATGTATAACAGACACACACAAGCTCAGCCGATTTGCCCTGGATTTTGTACCTGATATTTTTGCACAAGGAGCCGTCGTCGTCTCGTTGCGCAAAGCCTCACGTGGCTCACGCATGATTGCGACGTCGACGACGACGCGCCGTACTCGCGCACGGGTCATAATGATCGCGCAGCAACAGCTACAGCCACAGCTCGTTAAAAATTTTTCATTCTTCTAACGAGACGTTAATTAACGACGAATATGTACACATACGCTCGGGTACACGCGTACCTATATGTACGTACGACTCCACTTAATGGTTCGCGCAAGTAATGCCCCGCGCGCGCGTGTAACACGTGGAGTTCGCGCGAGCCGATGCTCCCGATTTCCGATTCAGGTTGAAATTCGAATTTTAAACGACTCTCTTATACCTTTTCGTGTGCGTCGGCGACTGTGTACAATTTTTACGAACTACACGCGATGCATTGAAATGGTAGTTAATTATCACTTGTAACCTCCTCGGCTCGTTGCTATGTCAACATATAGTCGTCTTCTGCTTATTTTGGAAACATCAGCTTCTTTGGACATTTTCGTATGCTGCTGCGATAAAAATAAAAACATGTCAATACCGAAAATTGGCGAGACCTTGCCCTCCGTACTGTGCTCAGGGTATTCCGTCTCTATTTAATATATCGTAATTTGAAATGCGAGATGTAAAAGGTCGTAGTAATTTTTTATCTACAAAACTTTGAACAGGCTTTAATGTTATTTAGATCGATAGTTTGGTTGGTGTATGTGCTATCTACAATATTACCCTCTTCTATATAAACCAAAATTAGCTCGCTTATAAGTGAAGACAAATTAAGAAGAGCTCCGTAAATACGCCGAATCAAGTTTTTTTCCGTTGACAAAAAAAAAGAAGAAGTTAATGTATCAAGCATGAACTCAGGTCTCTCTTCGCGTATATGAGCAATTCTCTAAATGAAACGCATTTTTTGAGGTAGAATCGCGGCAAATTTTTTTTTCAACCTACGCGGATACGGACCCCCGGGAAATGTTTTTGGGGGTCCTAGGAACATGTAACCACGTAGGAACCATTGAAATTTCAATAGTGCTTACTTTTATAGCTACTTTTGTGATTTAGAGGACGAAAAATCATGTTTTTTCGTAAATGCGGCTAGTTACTCGATTTCCAAGTCGTTGAAAAAGTATCGAAACTCATCTGAAAAATTTAACTAACTACTGTAATCGATAGGAAATTTTCTCAGCTTTCCAATGGTGCTATCAGATTTTCCCACAATTTGCTCATTCACCGAGAAAATCGCCATCAAACATGCCAAGCTAAATATCTCGAAAAACTCGGTACGGAAAAAGTGATCTTTGAGGTTTATTTTCGATTTTTCTTCGTGAAAATGAAATTTATCGGAAAATCTGACTACACCATAAGAAAGCTGAGGAAATTTTCTATCGAAAGCATATCTTCATTTATTTTTTGAGTCGAATTACAATGTTATACATGGGAATTTCTTTTACGTTGTTCGCTGTTTTCTGTTTCCAAGCTGATTCAGCGCGGTCACGAGGTTTTCGGCTCGCTACAATGAAAACTAGCTCGTAAATTCCACTGAAAAAATAAATGAAAATATGATTTCGATAGGAAATTTCCTCAGCTTTCTTATGGTGCATTCAGTTTTTCCGAAAAATCTCATTTTCAACAGGAAAAATCAAAAATAAACCTCAAAGATCACTTTTTCCGTACCGAGTTTTTCGAGATATTTAGCTTGGCATGTTTGATGGCGATTTTCTCGGTGAATGAGCAAATTGTGGGAAAATCTGATAGCACCATTGGAAAGCTGAGAAAATTTCCTATCGATTACAGTAGTTAGTTAAATTTTTCAGATGAGTTTTGATACTTTTTCAACGACTTGGAAATCGAGTAACTAGCCGCATTTACGAAAAAACATGATTTTTCGTCCTCTAAATCACAAAAGTAGCTATAAAAGTAAGCACTATTGAAATTTCAATGGTTCCTACGTGGTTACATGTTCCTAGGACCCCCAAAAACATTTCCCGGGGGTCCGTATCCGCGTAGGTTGAAAAAAAAATTTGCCGCGATTCTACCTCAAAAAATGCGTTTCATTTAGAGAATTGCTCATATATGTATGTAAATATTCGTTGAGAAATATCACGCCGAAGTTCAGTCTATATTATTCCCTTAGCGATACAAAAGTTTTCATGGACTGATGATAAGCGACATCGTGTACAATGATATACGGTGTACAAGAATTATCATAATAGCGATACGTGAATTCGAGCGTATACTTCTCTTTGTGAAAATTTAAAACAAAGCGCCTATGTGTGCGATCGTCGATTCGATTGTTTAACATAGTGGAGCATATGATCAATAAAAAGACAAAAAAATAGAGACTAAGTTTGCTTTGCGAGCGATTTTGTGCTTTTCAAATTACCCTGTACTTGTTTGCCGTCAAATTGCATGTTACACACAGTGAATTTTATAACATTTTATTGATGTTCAAAAAGCGTCCTTTATTTCAATGATGCTCTTTACCATATCGATTTCAGCTATTTTCAAGTGCTCTTGCGTACAGCACGACTCAATATAAATATGACTCAACTACTTTTTTCTGTGTTTACCATAATATTATTATTTTGGTACGCCGTTTGTGACACACTTGCCGCTCTCGTTTCGAGGGGAACATTTTGAAAACTCCGAACTTCGAATATTACATAAAAAAAACCCGGCAATGCTAGGAAACCGCGAACAAAATTTCAATTTGAATAATTTTTTATCAATGATAAATAACGATATCAGCTAAATCCATCCAATTAATCATTACAGGATGAAACGTACGAGAAAATAATATACTAAACGTAGATCAAAAATCAACTTTCATCTTAACCAACAGGAATTCAGCGTGTTGAAAGAAACCGAAGTCGTGTTACTCAATCATCGCATAACAACTTTAAATCGAAACCTCCATTCAGATACCGTCAATTCATTCATTATCTAATATCCTATTTTTTTTATATATAATCAACACGCGATACAGTATCGCGCCGAAGCATCAGAACAGTAATGTAAACAATCGATTCCAGATGCGAGTATTTATAGTTTTTTTCCTACATATCGAGCCGCGTAATATTTCGAAGCCACACGTGCTGGGTATATTATAATTCGCACAGCATTTCGGAGACGATTCGCGCGCGCATAAGGTACTCGGGGGCCGGTTTTTTTTGTGCCAGCGCCTCGACATGAGACCTCGAATATTTCATGTGCCTTGCAAACCACTACGCGGCTCGCAACGCGCTGCTTTTCTGAGTAAACATTTTTTCTTTATTCACACGCACTGGCGGCATGAGCACCGCGCGCGAGCGCGTCGGAGCCAGTCGGCAGCGCGCGGAGAGTCCCTCATTCCTTCTTTCTGTCTCTCTCTCTTTTCAAGGTATACACACACATACACACACATACTTCTTTATATTCTTTCTTTTCCCGATGGTACGGGAGAGAGAGAGAGAGAGAGAGGCCCTTTTGTGTTGAACTGCTATATACGTTGTGCTCCGAAGCGTTAGCGCGGCTTGGAAGAGCGAGCAAAGGATGAACCGCCCACTTATACGCGAATATATGTATACTCCAATATACGTATACATTGAATCGTTTCCTTCGCCGCTTCTCGATTTTTATTATACTTTTTGCGGTTCAAATTACTAGACTCGGCGTTTGTGTGTACGTATACGAGTGGTGAAAATGCGCGCTATTTCTTTTTTTGTCTCCTGACGAAGATAAAAATTCGATCTTTTTTCATTTAAAAAACTTTTGAGTGCATTCTTGTAAAATTAACACAATGGCCAGGTTTAAAGGAGCTCTCTTGCGCGCGCGGTAGCTTCGAGCTCATGGCATACTTTGTCACACTCCGGGTGTATGTGTGCGTGTGCGCGTACATCCAAAGCTCGTCGCGAGAAAGTTTACACCCAAAAATTGCGCGTCGAAAGCAGAATTTCATTACAAGAGCCTCTGACACACCATCGCCAACAACGTGTGTGTACACTCACACACGTTCATTTACTTGCCGTACTGAGTACAGGCACAAATATCTCCGACGAGCACACTCACGGGGAGCAACAGCAGCAGCAGCGCATGTGTAACTCGAGTATATATTTTGTACGCCCGAACCGAAGTTCGTTGCTGTGGCATCCGATATACACAAAAGCGATGAGGCACACAGGGAGATTCCACGGCGCGTATGTAGCATACGTACAGAAAAAGCGCGGGGCACAGAAGTATAGTAGCACGAGAGAGCACGTGTATCCCGAGTGCTCAGAAGAAGACAAAATTCGTTTATACACACGCACGAATTTCGTATTTATATACACAGTCGGCTCGCTCTCTCGCTCGCTCCAACTAGCTTGGTACACGTGTTTTTATTTCCATGCTAATGTATCTCTCCCGCGTTCCCATTTTTTGTTTGTGTGTGTCTTTTTCGTAACGACCGAGGCGTATTATGATGGAGAGACGCCTCGAAAAGCGGATAGTGGGACGCCATGACTTTTCTTTTTGTGAATAGAATGATGTTGATATCGACTTTTAAATGAGATACGTCATTGTCGGATAAAAATGCGATTATGAATAATAATAGCATCTTCGTGTTTTATCTTC